TTGAAAATGCTGAAAGTCAGGTTGGTTTGCGCTTGAGTCTTCCCAGCCTTCTGGAGAACAGAGGGAAAGGGGCCTGCATCACCATGCGGGCATTTCCTGTGCTTTGCTGGTCCCCAAATAATAAACATAAAATTAAAATCCTGTTAGGAGAATCACAAAAGCTATTATAGCTCAGCAGCTGATATTGACTGTGATCAAATCTTTTATGTGATTTCACAGCATTCTGGGCTGCTCATGGGCACACCTTGATCATGTTAGCTCTAGCTTGATATTTTTTTTTCTCCCCCAATGAAACAAAATAAAAAGAATGACAAAAAAACCCAGTCTAATCCTGCTATAGCAATTTGTGTTGTATTTTTGCCATGAGCAGCAGTGTCTAGTGCTGCTGTGTGGCCTCTAAAGACAGGCCTCTGGGAGCATGTGCTCACTCCAGCAGTGGATGTGCCAGCCCCATCCTGCTCATCACAGATGCTGCTGCCTGGGAAACCCCATGGGGCCCCTGGACAGTGAGGGTGTTATTGCCTGCATCGTGTCCATCACTCAGGGCACACCAGTGACACTGCTGCTGTCCAGGGGAGTGGCAGGGATGCTCTGTAGAGCCTCTTGCATGGAGTCATGAGCGATGTACTGCTGCAGCCTACAACTTTTAAACAATCTTTGCACATCTTTTTTGAATATTATGGGCAAGCAGAAGTAGTCCCCAAAAATAACAACATTTAAATGAGAAATTGGTTTAAAGAACCTGCATTATACAGTTATCTATCTTCATGCTATTTTTCAAAAGTTAGACTCATTCTTCATACTAGATAGGGTGATAAGAGGATAAAGGTACCTCTTATTCAACTCTAATTTTAATTAATGTGGTCATCAAATTGGATATGAAGAATTAGGAAACCTCAGCAAAAATTCTGAAGGGATATAAACCAGGACAATTTACTATTTGCCAACCTGTGCTCTTCTCTAGTCATCAGCAGTCATGGTGACTTGGTTTCTGATAGATGTCTGGAAATACCTTCAGTAATCTCTTTACACAGTTTAATGACCTTGGGTCATTCACTTTTTGAAATATTTTAGCTACTAGGGAATAAAAATAGCAAGATTGTTACAATTACACTCCAGAAGGTCTTATCCATCTCCCTTTGGCTAAAGGTCTGGATTCCCTCAAAGCTGTGCCACTCCAGTGAAAGGCGAGCCTGGCTGGTTGAACCTGCTGCTGCTGGTTATCACCTTGCCCAGGTGGTAACTGGTGAAATGCCAAGAAGGATGTCGTGTCCCATGGATCTGGCCACTGGCTGGGGGGTATCAGCTGCCCTGGGGGACAGAAACCCACCACACTCCATGTTCTCACTACTGAACCCGCTGGCTATTTCAACAGAGCAGGAATTTAATTGCTCCAAGAACAGGGTTAAACACACAAGGAAAGAAGCCCACGGAAACAGGTCAGGAGTGGAGCCATGGGCAGGGTGACAGGTGACAGGGTACATGGCAAGGGGCTGTCCTTCCCTGCTCGTGTATCACGCACGGTCAGAGCTGTCCCCTGTGGGACCTGGATTCAACACTGCAGGAATTAGGTGAAGCTACTTGAGAAAAGCTGCCTGGGGCAGCTGCTGGGGCAGAGCTCGGGGACACCAGAGGGAAGCAGAAGAGCTGTGGGTGCTGCAGGCAGCCCAGTCTGTCTTTGAGGTGTCCCCAGGCTCCCTGGGACAGCAGATGCTGGCAAAGAGCAAGGGCTGGGTGACAGCCAGATCCCTGCCATGTGTGAGCTTGGCACTGGCAGGAGTGAAGTGTGGGCTGGAGACTGCTTCCATTTCCTCCTGGATGTGACTTCCCTGAGTGCCTGCCATGTGGCTCGGCACAGAGAGCGGGGAGAGGCGGGAGAGTGAGGGGCACCGTCAGCTGGTTGGCAGTGCTGGCAGGCACAGGCTGAGCCTGAGCTTGAGGCAGAGGAGAAGGAGCACAGTGAGATGGTGCTGATGGTCCCGGCCAAACTCTGAGTGGTTCTAGGGAGAATTGGCTGCTCTCCGTAGTACCTGACACCTTGCTGGCCTCATGCCCAGCGATGGCACCCGCCACACCAGGGCACGGTGACCACATCAGTCCTTGCAGTCCTGAGCTTACCCTGCCATTATGGCAAACCCTTATTTATGCTTTCAGATCCTGCTAACTCACAGATAATTAATGTCAGGAAGCTGACATGGTGCTGTGGCTAATAGCTCAGCAAAAGGAGACACATTGGTCAATTAGCAGCTATTTGATCTGACAGTACCAGAAAAGAGCAGATCTAGCTGCCAGCCCAGCCATCCTGTCCCCCCTACCCACCAGCTCATGTGTTTTAGATCAGGGATGTGTCAGGGCTCAGGGTGGGAACTTGGAGACCATTGGAGGATGGGAAGGACCCACAGGCAGAGCCTTTGCCCCATGCTTGCTGCAGCTTCATCGAGGCTGGTCTGGGCACAGAGAGCCTGCAAGGGGCAGAGGTGTGCACTGGCATCCAGCATCGCCCCGCCATCCGGACATGGGGACAGAGTGGAATAGCAGGGAATCCACTGCAGTGACAGACCGCCCCTTCCTGGGAGATAAGCTGTGTTCCTCTGGAGAAGCCCACGTTATGAATTTTGCAATATTGGTAAAGTATTAAATTAGAAAGAGACCTCAGAGCAACAGAGAAGTAATATCTGCATATGTGAGGGCCTCCAACTCTAGGCACAGCAATATTAGAGGATTTGTGATGTTTAACGCTATTCTTTCATCTTGAGGCTGAGGCTGTAAAATAAGACACCACGATTCACCTGAAAATAAAAACACATAAGAGGATGAGTAGATCTGTTGTAACCCCTCTGGAGTAATCGTCAGTGACCCAGTCTGTTTGCTGCCACAGCTGTGACACTTTCACCAGCACAGCGTCCGGCAGCTCTGTGCACAGTGGGGCCAGGGGGTGCTGCTGGGGCTGATCAGCTCTCAGGGTAGTCTGGGACGCAGCTCCCTGTGCTGGACCATCCACAAGTGAAGCAGGACCCCAGGGTCTTCTCTCTCCTCAGGCCACTCTGTCCTTTGCAGGAGTGGATGCTTCCATGGCTGTGGTACTTTCCTCTGCCACTCTGAGGGACATTGGTGTCAGCAGCTGGAATTACTTTTGCTTTCCCAAGCAGGAGACTCTGATTACAGCCAGTCTCGTTCAGAAAATTGATGCTTTAATATTCAGTCTTGTCCGATGAGGGCTGTTCCTACAATAACATTTAATTAAGTGCTCTGGCTCTCTGTCTGTGATGCACCACTGATCTGCACAGGTGCACTTACCTTCATCAGCTCTTTTAAAACCAGCTTAACTGAAGCTAGAATAAACTGTAAAATTTATGGGCTGTTCCCTCCCTTTTTAATTAGCACCGCGAGTGTGTGATGAGGGGCCTCGGGCCAGGGGAAGGAGCCATTGACTTATTTACTGGTACGTGTCTTGCTCTGCAGCCCGGTCCAGCAGCATGCCCCCTAGATGGAGCTCTGCAAAAACATTTGGAAGCCAGAAAACAGAACTCTTCAGTTGCCCTGCAGCCCTGCTGTACTGGTCATCAGGAAAATCTTGGGTTTGACCTCTGTGCTGGGGTGGACAGGAGCTGATCCCATGGTCTGCAGGCAGAAGTGGGGTGGGGCAGCCTCGGTGGGGTGAGAGCAGATGGGTGCTGCAGGGCATCCACCCCATGAGTGACAGCTGAGTGGTGTCAGCAAAGAGAAGCCGGTGCTGGCAGCGGCCAAACTGGGCTGTGCTCTGCCAGCAGAGCAGCCCTGCAGCCAGCACTGTGCTCTCTTCTCTGGCCCCAGACACTCTGGGCCATTCCTCAGTTCCAGGGCTGTTTTCCTGAAGCCCCCAGTGCCGCTCTTCTTCCTCCTCTGAGCCTGCAGAAGGAGCAGGAGGATCAGCATTTGCTTTGTTCATGGTCAGCTCCTCGGCACCAGAGCCCCCCTTGTTCTTTCTGTGGGTGCCCCCTGGTACACCAGGCTCTGGCATTGGAGGGCTTTGCTCCAGGGATGATGGAATGATGGCATCACAAGCACAGTTGTTTTCTGGAAGTGGTGCTGCCTTTGTGCCTGAGCAGTTTTTTCCTCGCTGTGCCCTGATCATCCCTCCTGCCCTCAGCCCCCAGCTCTGCTGGCCCTTCACTTTCACTGGTGCTCTGTGGAGACTCAGCTTGTACCTCTGGCTAATGGATGGTTGAGCCCAAGATGGAAACTGAACTCGGATGCAAAATCTGGCATTTCACAGGTCCCAGATTAGAGGAGATGACTCTGCTTATCCAACCTGAACTCCTGCCAAAGACATGCCAGAGCAGGAGGGGTGAGAGGAAGCACCTGCCCAGGAGGATCCACAACAGAAAGACCTAGAAATGAAAGCTAGAATCCAGGGCACCCTGGATATTTGAAAGCCCAGCAAGTGCAAGAGGCAGTCAACTGAGCAAAGTGATGGGGATGTCCCTCCTGATGATCCTTCCATTATCAGTCAGAAAATCCTAGACTGTAAAGTAGCAAAAAATTCTAAATGACTGGAAAAGAAGGCTGCCTGTATCCTTGCATGAAAGGGAGATGAAGAGAGATGAAGCCCAAGTGTCAGCACAGCTGATAAGCTCGTGGAGGAACACAGGAAGAAGCCAGAGGGGTGAGGGCATAGGGGGGCACAGGACTGAGGCAGAGGAGAGCACGTGTGGTCACTGCTGGCTCTGCAGACAGTGAGACACTGCCAAAGGCCTGGGAAGTATTGCAGACAGTTTGCCATTAATGCATCCAGACAGGGGAGGCTGAGGACAGGGCTGGGAGCAGGAGTGATGCTGCAGGAAGGAGTGGTGGGCCCAAGATGCTTCCTGGGGTTCCCCAGTACTGGACCTCCCTGGAAATGAGGAGCGAACAGAGACCGTGGCAGGAAAGGTGGTCTGGGGTGCAGGAGAAGGAGAAGCTCAATTCTTCTTATGCCTGGTTTGGAGGGATATTAAACAAGTTGCTTCTTTCTCTTTTAGTGCCTCTTGGGACATTTTGGGTAACCACTCTGGAGACAACTGGTATGAATCTCCATCAGGCAGAGCTGCATGAAGCTTCTTTGGCATCGCAGCACACAAAGACTGGTGCGACCAACTTCTGTTTTCATGAGTATTGCACTGAGGTTGGTGAAGATTTTCCTCCTGAGGTACTGAGCACTTGAGTCCCAGGAAATGTCCAGTGTTTGGTCTGGAGTGCTTGGAAGAGCAGGGCATCTGCCTTCCTGGTGTGGTACGAGTGGTATGGCACCGTGCTGCCTCATGACCCCAAGATGCTGGCTGGTCTTTCTGCCTTACCTGTGGCCCGTGCCAGTTCAATTACTCCTTTGGTTTCACTCACAAATCTTATATATATATAAAAAAGATATACGTCATAAAAGCAACTAGTTGAGCATTCCCCAGTGAAAATGAAATGCTGCTGTGCCTCAGAAACTCTGGTTCTGGATCATTTGTCTATTCAGTATTTGGCAAAGTCTGAAGCCCTTGCTGCTTAGCCCTTTCCAGGCCCTGGATGGAATCCTGTTCCTTCACCTACAAAGGCAAAGCATCCCATGCAAACAGGTTCTAGTTGTCCATTGGGATCTGGGCTGCAAGTCTGCAGGGCAGAGCTCCTGTCAGAGGCCCCGTCTCCTTGACTGGAGTCCATCCTGTGATAATGCTGCTCAGAGAGAGCACGGATCTCCTCCACCTGGGCTCAGGGGCTTGGAGTTTTTATAAACCCAAGAAATACATGGTGAATTGACAGATAGTTAGGAAGATGTTGGATCAGCTGCTGACCCTGGGGAAGTGGCAGAGCTCAGTACAGTGCTCAGAGACTCCCCATAGGGCTCGAGCTAATGCATTTGACTCATACATCAGGAGCAAAATGTTCTGCTGCCTCAGAGTGTCGCTGGGAGAGCGAGGGCCAGGGAGCTGTGTCTGCCCTGGTTAACAGGCAGGAGCAGGAACGCATATGTCACTCCAGACAGCTGTTCCTGCTGCTGCTTCTGTGCCTCACAGCGCTCGGCTGGTCCCTTTCCCGCTTTCATGCTCTTGCCATGAGCTCCCAGGGCTGTGGGTCAGCCTGATCTCCCTGTCGTGGGTGCCCTACTCTAAACAGAACATGTGGTGCACTTATCCCCGACCCTGCCTCAGCAGAGGCTCTTCCTGGGGAAGCTGGAAGCTGCAGTTGCAGCTGGTGGGGCTCTGAGAGGTGGCTGGGTGCAGCTTCTGCTCCTGGCCCCCATTCCCATGGAGACAAGAGTGCATGGCAGCAGTGCAGGGCACAGATGCCATGACCCTCCTCATGGTCTGACTTTTGTACTAGTGTGTCTTCACAAATGAAGCTTTGATTGTACCTAAGCTCACAGAGGGTTCTTGTACACAGCTCGGATGGGGCAACTCGGAGAAGAGGCTGAAGGTGCAACTTGAAGTGAAACCAGGAGCCACACAGCAGCTCAGGGGGGAGGTGGGGGAATTCTGGAAATGCTTGACAGAAGCTGCTGATGCCTGAGCTGACAGCAGGGGCTATGCACAGTCCAGACCCCCAGAACTCCTTCCCAGCACTCCCTCATGGAATTTTGATGAGCACATAACACAATTCACAATTCTAGGATGCCTAATACATCCTAGAAAGAAGGAAGCTTTGAAGGATCCCGCCAAACCAAATCACAACTGCAGAACAGTCAGCTCTTTTAGGCGTTAGTGCCCCTGAGCAGCTGCTGGCAAGGACAGAGGGAACAGGGTTTGCAAGATCAGCTCTTGGCCTTTTTGGGGCACCTTCGTTGCTGTGCCAGAAGGAAGAGGAATGTTATAGCTGGAACATTTTGCAGAGGCATTTCTCTTGGCAGGTTTATGATCTTTTCTGCCTCAGCTGGAAAGCTAGCAGGACTGAATAAATCTCCAGGCCAACAAAAACCCAGGATGTTTTCACAATTGCCAGGTTTTTATTAATTTACAATATTGAATTTTTTCCTTCCTAACAACAGCTTCCACTTAGGTGGGGAGTCCTTTGGTATGTTTGGGTGTGCAAAGCCAGTAAAACTCTGTGAGGGTCACCTGCCAAATATTTGTGCCATTAATGCCAGTAAACTGCAAAATGTGAGAAGGTGGATTTGGTGCTTTCACTTGTCAGGTCTTGCAGTGCTTTGCAAAAGAAAGGAACTGCCTACTGCCCCCATGCTACAGAAGGCCCTGGCTCTGGGAGCAGAGCTGGCCACGTCACCCAGCTGATGGGACATGAGTCTCTTGCACAGCCTGAAAGTTCCACCAGCACTTGGTGCAAACAGAGGCTCTTCCTCCATCCCATTCTCTTTAAGTTCTCAGTGTTTCTGGCATAAATACATACTGGCACCTCCTTGGCTTTAAAGGACCCAAGTGTTGCCAGAACCTGAGCAAGCTGATCTATTACTATGACATTTCCTACTGCTTCTGGAATGAAACACCACTATTTTTATCTATGTTTTGGGACCTGTCAACCCATTCCATAACAAGAGTTAAATGAGCTGCAGAGACCTAAGCAGCAGGGCAGGGGTGTTTTTTGGCTGGGAGATGGTGTGGGGGATTCTGGCAGGACTGCCTGGGCAGGGGTACTTCTACCTCAAGGAGGGGAGAAAGGCCAGGAGCTGAGCTGTCCCTTGGCAATGGGCAGCACATAAAGCAGTGTCTGCATGAACCTGTGGTGGCAGTGGCTCCGTCTGACACTTCACCACCCACCTTTTCACACCCATCTCAGTGGGTTGCTGCGCCCCAGTACAGCCCATGGTCCAAGCACCTCCTTTGCTGGTGGCTTTACCCAACCCCTCAACTGAGCTCCTTTCCATCACCCACTGAGTCAATGGGGGCAGCAAATGGAGCTTGTGTCTGTATTCCCACTTTGGGCCCCTCTGCCATGGCATTTGTCTCCTCTCTGCAGCCCAGGTGCTCCTTGGCCATCGGCACTGTGCCAGCTGTGGCTCTGGCTGCGCATCTGCAGGGAAACACTGGACAGCAGATGTGGCTCAACAACCCCCTCTGCAGAACTGAGGGGGCCAGTGCAGTTTTTCAGCTGTTTTCTGGCCCTCAGGAGCTGCAATCCCAAATGCATCTTTTTTGTCTTAGTGACACAGATCATGATGAAGGCAGACATGTGGGTGCAAGCTGACACCTGCAAATTGGGAACAGGTCCTATCCTGTAGAACCTCTTCTCCTTGGGGACAAGCCGATGGGGCAGATCACACCCTGGGAACACTGGGAAGGTGGGATGTGAGATCTAGCCCAGCAGTGGAGTGTGGCCATGAGGCTTCCCACAGCTGATTACTCCCTTTGGAGTCTCCCAAAGCCAGTGTGGCAAGCAGGGCCCTTCCCCACCAAGTAACAACTAATGGGGAATATCTTCAAGTGATTAAAAAATTTAAACAGGTTAATTATTTCCAAGAAGAGAAAAGAAGAATTAAAATGGCTTCTGTGGGTACATTTAAAATACAATCAATAATTTATCAGAGAATTTTTGTTCAACAATGAGAAATTAGGAGGCTTGAAACCCTCCCAAATTTTATCTGTCAGGGAAAATGTTTAAATTATTTATTTGGCTTCCTGTGACTGGTGCTGGGGGAGCAGCACCACCAGCCAGCCCTGGTCCTGCAAGAGCTCCATAGACAGGTGACCTTGACCCATCCGTGCACCAGTGAGGACCTCCCATCCCTCCCTCTGCACCCTGGCACAGGGCTGGGCTTGCAGCAGGGGCTTGGGACGGGCGCTCAGGGAGCCATTCCCAGAGCACTTGAGGGGCTTTGGGCAGGCTGAGTGCCAACAGCAGGAGCCCACCCCTGGGATGTAACTAACCCCTAAGGAATATGGCAAAGTTGAAAATTAAAGAGAAGCAGCTGGAGTTCATCATCCCCATGAAAAACTCTGCGTCCCACCCATAAAGGAAGGGGTGTCTGAGCTGCTCTGAAAAATCCTTCATCGTCTGTGGAAATGTGCCTAGTTTTACAGAAAAAATAAATACAGTGCATTGAAAATAAATGGCATTATTAGCAGAAAGGGAGTCTCTAATTAACCAGATATAGTCCATTACTGTAGCCTTCAATTCATTAAATTACATAATTACATAAACCCACTGTTGATGTGCTATTCAGTATATCTGGTATTGTCTTCCTGATAATTAGCTCCATAATTGTCAGTTTGACAGGGTAATTAAAAATGTTTAAAGATGTTGTGTCAGCCTTTTCTCCTTTGCTGAGCTCAGTTGGATGTCTCTGGAAGATGATTTTCTACCCAATTCCACCATGGTTTTGTTTTTGATTTATACCAGTGTGTTACAGGAATGACCAGGCTCATGGATTACTTTGATATTCCTGCTAGGCTGATTTTTAAGGGTAGGAGAAAAATAACTCCAGATGTCATTTTCATTTACTTTTAGGAACTCTGTGGTCCCATCCCCTGGTTTGTGCTACCGGTGACGTGACTTTCAGTTTTATGGGCAGAGTGTTGTGAAATCTGACATTTGTAGCCCTAAATCTCGGTTCTGTTTGCTGTGTAAAACCTTTCATCCCACATGCATTTTTTATGAAGAGATGCAGAAAGGCAGGAGATGCAGGCCGTGGCTCTGTGCGGAGGGGGCAGCTCAGCGGTGTGGGCGGCCGGGGCCGGGCTGTGCCCGGCTGTGACGAGGCTTCAGCTGCGTGGGCTTGGGCACAGGCGTGACATGACGGCGGTGAAATGTCACGGAGAAGCACGGGACCCGTGGGTCGTTGTGCCATTGGGGGGGTGTAGGTGGCATGATGCCCCGGGCATGGTGCTGGGGAGCAGGACAGGAGCCTGGGACTGATCAACTAGCAGGGGAGACCGCCTGGGAACAGTGCAGACGAGCCTGATGCTGTGAATGTGCTTTAACAGAGGTGGTTTCTGGAGTTCTACATGGTAGTCGCTCTGAGTTCTGTTGTTTTAGGGCAGTGATTGCCACTTTGGATGGTCAAAACCCTGAATGGTTTCTCTTTTCAACAAAATAAAGCCTAATATTCATTGCTGAGAAGTGATAAATGTATCTATCCTCACACTCAGGAGTTTTGCCAGCTGGGTTTTGGCTGGATGAGAGACTGTTTGTGAAAGCTTTCATGGATTTTTGAAAATAACATGTTTTGAATCATTAAATGAGTGAAGTGATCTGGTCGTCTGGAATAAACAGTAATCACATGGAAGTGAAGTTTGAACTTCTTTCTTGGCAAAAAATTTCCAACGCTCTTTCTTATTTTTACATTTGTATTTCTATTTGTGTTTGTGTTTATTTTTGTTGTTGGACTGTCTCTTACACCATGTTTTCTGCCCCAGCAGGCTCTGTGGAGACCACACACATTCCCCAGTACCTATGGCATTTGGCTGAAGGAGTCCCCTCATAGCTGCACGTGTGTCTCCGTGTCCAGATGGCCCTGTTCCACCCCCCTCCAGCCGTAGTTTAGATTCAGTGTTCATAATTGCTTCACTAACAGAGAAACTTTACAATCTGTTGCAGGTCATTATATGCAAACTCATGCCCAAATAATTGATCCCCTGCCATCCAAATTGCAGAAGTGCTTGAGCATTTTGTAATCTTACAGAAAAGGTTTGTATTTGGAGTATTTCAGACCTATATTAAAATATAATTGACACTGAGATAACAAGGTGTAATTTTACAGTGGCTCTGTCCACAGGTGATCGCCCACCCATCCAACGACTGGCAGCAGGGCCCCTGATGCGCTGCCTGCAGCTAAACTGATGCCACGTACTCCTCTGATCTTCCACATTTGCCAGCCCCATCTCACCGCCTCCACGGCGTGCTCACCCGTTCCCAGGAGGCTGGCAGAGCATCTAATGCTGGGGCAGGAGAAGGGGATCAGCAGCTTCCCTGCCAGGGCCATTCCCGGGAGCTGCACAGCCCCCACGCCTCGGGGCCCAGCCTGCCCATGCCAGCACTGGCATGCACAGCAGTGGTTGCAGGTGCTGGGGAAGAGCCTTGGTGACTCTCAGTCTTCCTGGCACAGCCACTGCAGCAGGTCTGTGTGGGAGCGGTGCCAGCATGGCCGGTGCCAGCGGTGCTGCTGTGCTGATGCCTGGTTTTGGGACACCTTGTTTTTAATGAGCAATGCATGTGGAATGAATTCATAGGACAGGAAGGCAAAGAATGCGACATAAAGCCTTACAAAGGTTTCTAGAGAACCAGCAAGGCCTCCTGTAGGATGATAGATCTCTTCTTAAGTCATAGGAGGAAAGGCTCCTACAAAGAGTAATAAATTCATAAATTTCTCTAGTCACCAGGGTTATTTCCAACAAAAGAATTTATTGCCTGGCATACATTTCTCTGCTCACAATAATGAGATCTGGGCTCCAACACGTGACATTTATGACTGGCATTATTAAAAAAAAAAAAAAAAAGAGGAAAAGACATACAGTCTTTGAGGAAAATATGTGGAACAAATCTGCAGTTCACATATACAGTATATTCACTCTCCGAACAGCACAGGCTGGGCTGTGTTTCAACCAGGGAACCAGGAATATTTCTGTGGATGCTTTCCTGGGGAAACATGCCACAGTAGGACCACTGACCTGGACAGTCTCCAGTCTGCTGCAATCCTGGCCATCACCTGATGAGGTTTTGGAGGTGTCCTGGGCTCAGCCATGCCACCAGCCAATGTGCAGGATGTACGTGGGGATGCTCAATCCCCCGTGCCAGATGCATGTCTTGAAGCTGCCTCAGACAAGGGGCTCACATCCTTCCTTCAGGGTGATGCAGCTGCCAGCAAGCTCTGTTGGGGACCAACAGCAGAGTCAATGGTTGCCTCTTGCTCCAGCACTCCTGTCCTGGTCCCTGCAGGCTGGCACTGCCTTGAGGTGTGGACTTTCAGAGACTCTGCAGAAGGGCAGGCTGGCAGCTTAGTGTAGAAAAGCATGGGGCATTCCTGGCATCTTCCAGGCCACTGACATGCTGCAGCAGTGGCCCAGCACACGTCTGGCACTGCAGGAGAAACCCCTCATGTTCTGTGCTCCAGAGTTCCCCATGCATCTCCCTGTCATCACGTGAAAGGACATTTGGAGCTGCTCTTTGCCTAATGGGGTAGTTTGAATGTTACAGCCTAAATTTAAAGAGCTCATTAATTACTATGCTGAAAGCCAGGCTCTCTTTAAGCCTCTTCTTTATCATGATTAATGAGGCAGCACCATCTTCCTCCCCCTTTCTGCAATCCTGTGTCCTGCCAGGGTGGTATTCACAGTCCTGCCTCCTGCTGCTCCTCTCCTCCCTGCTCCAGCAGCATTCAGGGCTGACCGTTGCCCCAGGCTCACACTGCTCATGCTTCCAGAACTTGAGTTGGTCCTTGCTTGTGCCAGCGCCCTTCAGTCCTCCCTCCTGGCATTTGCTTGCTGCTGGAAAACACCCCTGTGCCTGCCTGCCCTGCTGTGCTGAGGAGCTGCCCCACAGCCCTCAGGGACACATCAGCTCCTGTGCCTGGCTGGGCTGCAGAAGAGCTTGGCCTACGGTGCTGATGTGTTTTCTCAGCTCCATCTCATCTGGGACTCAGGTGCAGCTCATTTCCCTATGGGAATTGGTGCTTACCACCAGGACACACATATCCTGTCACCTGTGCAGGAGTGTGGTACCTGCCTCACTTCTCCTGTGCCCAGCAAACCCAGTGCTGGCTTGGTTTGGGAGTGTAGGGTGTAACTGCAGCCTGCCATGGAGCTGGAATCCCCCTCCTGCCCTCATGGTGCTTGTTCCTGAGGTTTCCCAATTTTGCAGGAAGGGCAGTGGCAGTGGATGGGCATGCCTGTCTGCAGGACTTTCCTGTTAGATTTGCAGAAAGAAAGCAAAGGCATTACTGTGCAGAAGGGCTAGTTATGCAGCTCCAACCTTGCATAGTGTTTACTCAATAAAAGCAGTGAAAACAGTATCTGCAGCAGCAAGTGAGCCCAGCGGCAGCTGCAGGGCCCGTCAGGATTATGCAGATGTGTCTGCTGGAGGAGGAACCCAGCCTACCTTTGTGTCTTGTAATGAAACTTTACACTTGCTCAGTGCATTTTAATTAACTCTCCGTTCCCCTCCTGCCTGTGGGAGGCATCCAAACGCTCTGCATGGTGCTGGCAGGCTCACGGCTTTCTGCAGCGTCTGTATAGAATGCTTCCAGAACTGCCAGGGAAAACCATCACGTCCTCAGCCCCTGGCTGCTACACGCCCTGTGCCGGGAAGGTGCCTCCACAGCAAACTGCCCGGAGAGCATCCCAATCTGGGAAATGGCTGCAGGGAGAGCATCCCAGTCTGAGGAATGGCTGTAGGGAAAGTGCCCTCTGGGAGCAGGATGGGGCTGGGTCATGGGAGGTTATGGAAGGTCAAAGATGGAGGATGCAACTGTCTGATTTGGGACTGGGGGAGATGAACTGAGGCTGGCAGACCACATGGTTACCCTGAGGTGTGACATGGGCTGCCCCTCTTGACTTCCACTGTGTGCAGACAACGTGGCCCCCCTTGATCCAGTGTGTGCATGAGAGAGGCCAATCCCATGGGACACTCCAGAAACTGTCTGCAAATGTGGTTGTCAAATATACTTGCTGTGTTAATCCCTTGAATACCTTGGTTATATGGACTTCAGTAATGTCAGGAAAAAAACCTAGGAATTATACTGCAAAGTTGTTTGCAGGATAAATGCATCTAATAGGACAGGATTTATAAAATGCAGTGATGGAATTTGGTGTGATGTTGCGTCTCCAAGAGCACTTTAACTAGTGGAGGTAATACCTCCCCAGGGAGCACTGCATGCTCCACTTGAGCTCCAAAGGGATATGTTCTGGGAGTTAATCCTCTGACGGCAAGGCTGTCAATTATTGATACTTCATGTATAGCTTTCTACAAAGCCAGAGGTCTTCTGGAAGCCTTGAGATTAGCAGAGTGATTAAATAATTGATATTACATGATTTATATTATTTTGAAAAATTCACAGTGCATGTTGTCTGGGGAGGAGCCCAATTAAGGTGCAATTCAGCCAATCCACCTCTCTCCTTGTTCTCCACCTCTTCAATCTGGAAGCAGCAGGTATAGAGGGAACACACAGTATTTGCATTGAAGAACAAGTGAACAGAATGACAATACTTCATTTGCATTTTTACTGAGCAAAATGGAGGTAGGAAGAGAAACAAGGTAAATATCCCAGGTAACCTAGACCACAGCATGAGGTGTTCCCTGCACGGGGCAGGGGCCCTGGAGCCCACTTGTACACTGCCAGGGAGATGCCATACTGCTCCAGGTGGTGGGATGCAGTGCTCTGGACCAGGCTGTGTCCATGCAGTGTGGTGAGGATGGGATTACCCGTGAAATGTGCTGATACCGGACAAGAGTGCACCTCAAGAGCTGTGTCTCTGCACCTGCTCTGGAAAGAGGTCTGTGGCACCAGTGCTGGACAGGGCACCACTCTGTGTGCTGAGGGAGCCCAGAGGTCAGCTGTCAGTGACTGGGGTGCCCAATACTGGCAATGCACATCACTCTTCTGCCTTTTCCTACTTCTGAGCCTGGTATCTATTTCTCGATCCTTTAATTCAGCTCAGCAAACAAGCTAAATCTGGTTTCCTCTTCACTATTCCTTGTGGCGTGCCCGGTGTCCCTGTGAGCACCAGTGCTGGAGGCAGCACTGCTCGGGGTGGGGGACACTTGCACAGCACGTGCCTGTCAGCACCACTCTGAGGTGGGGACTGAGGTGCACGGGCTCTGCCAAGGTGTCAGGGCTCTTCCAGTTGTAGCCAAAAGCCACATGTGCCAGAGAAAATCTGCTTTGCAGGACCATGCTGGATCCCCCTGATCAGGGCAGGGCCCTGTGAAAGCCAGGGCAGTGTGGCTCCTCCCAAGGGATTCCTGTTCCCAAGGTGCTGGGGCAGACCCTGGCAGTGTGGGCAGGAATACCTCCTACAGGGTCAGAGGGGCCGGAGCTGCCCAGTGTCTGCAGAATCCCTCTGCCAGGGCCCAGAGGTGGCAGCCTGCAACCCAGGGTGGTGCCGCTGAGACAGAGCAAATGGGACACTCCAGGGTGACCCAGAGAACATCCTGGGACACAGCTCTGGAGACATCAGCCCTCCCAGCCCCTGGAGCATCCCCATCCCACAGCACAGTTGCAGTGCCCTTGAAGAG